CGCTCGGGCCCCACGGGTGCCTGGCGCGAATGGCGCCCCTGGCACGCGTGGCGCACCTCGCCCAGCGTCGCGCACCTGGGGTCGGCTTTGCTTCCCAGAAGGTGCTTATCCAAAGACGACCGCTGAACATGCTCAGGCTCGGGTGATACTTCTGTTTCGGGAGGGAGGGTGGGATTTGGCTAGACGGCCTGCGGCCGGGTGGATAGTTTGACCACTGTTCCTTAATAGGATACACCTCACCTCACCCAGGCGACCAGCGTCCAACCAGGAACCATGAGGACACCAGGACGACCCCCCCCACCATCCTTGCCAAAAAAACAATACAAACCGCACTTGACCTCCACATTCGGAGCATGCGCGGCCAACCCGATGCGCCCCCCCACACCATCCCTGCCAAAAAAGAATACCAAGTACACTTCGGGGCAAAGTGCAAAGTCTTGAGTCATGTTCGTGAGGGCCGCGAGCACCTTGTATTGTATGTGACAGAGACGGCGGGGGTGTCAGCAAATTCCCTGCTGCGCGCAAGGCTACCATCCCTGTCGAGTAACAATACAACATGCACCTCGCGGCTAAATCTGGATCATGCGCGGCCATCCCGCGATCACTGTCAAGTGGTTTTTTTGACAGGGACGCAGGGGTGGTGGCGCGTGGCCTGCTGTGCGCAGGCCGACCAGACACAATGATGGGCATTGGTTTTCGACAAGGATGGCGGGGGCCGACATGTTTCCCGACGTGTGCTGTCACGTGCGCTGGCGCACCTGACGCAATCTGCACGTGCCTCGAACGTGGCGCACGTGGCGCGGCTGGAGCGCGGCACGCATGGCGAATTCGGAGCACGTGGCGCATCTGGCGCACCAGGCGTGCCTGACACGCTCGGGCCCCACGGGTGCCTGGCGCGCATGGCGCCCCTGGCACGCGTGGCGCACCTCGCCCAGCGTCGCGCACCTGGGGTCGGCTTTGCTTCCCAGAAGGTGCCTATCCAAAGACGACCGCTGAACATGCTCAGGCTCGGGTGATACTTCTGTTTCGGGAGGGAGGGTGGGATTTGGCTAGACGGCCTGCGGCCGGGTGGATAGTTTGACCACTGTTCCTTAATAGGATACACCTCACCTCACCCAGGCGACCAGCGTCCAACCAGGAACCATGAGGACACCAGGACGACCCCCCCCACCATCCTTGCCAAAAAAAACATACAAACCGCACTTGACCTCCACATTCGGAGCATGCGCGGCCAACCCGATGCGCCCCCCCACACCATCCCTGCCAAAAAAGAATACAAAGTACACTTCGGGGCAAAGTGCAAAGTCTTGAGTCATGTTCGTGAGGGCCGCGAGCACCTTGTATTGTATTTGACAGAGACGGCGGGGGTGTCAGCAAATCCCCTGCTGCGCGCAAGGCTACCATCCCTGACAAACGACCAACAAAATCCATTTCGCGGCTAAACAAAGACCATGCGCGACCATCCCGCCATCTCTCTCAAATTGTTGTTGACGGGGACCGCAGGGGTGGTGGCGCGTGGCCTGCTGTGCGCAGGCTCACCAGACACAATGATGGGCATTGGTTTTCGACAAGGATGGCGGGGGCCGACATGTTTCCCAGTGTGTGCTGTCACGTGCGCTGGCGCACCTGACGCACTCGGCACGTGCCCAGAACGTAGCGCACCTGGCGCGACTGGGGTGTGCGGCACACCTGGCGCACTCGACGCACGTGGCGCATCTGGCGCACCAGGCGTGCCTGACACGCTCGGGCCCAAGGGGTGCCTGGCGCGCATGGCGCCCCTGGCACGCGTGGCGCACCTCGCCAAAGCGTCGCGCACCTGTGGTCGGCGTTGGTTCCCAGTAGCTGCCCATCCAAAGACGACAGCTGAACATGCTCAGGCCCGGGTGTTACTTATGTGTTGGGGGGGCGGGTGAGAGTAAGCTAGACGGCTTGCGGGCGGGTGGGTAGCTTGATCACTGTTCCCTATTAATAAACACACCCTCTCCCAGGCGACTCGTAGTCAACCAGGAACCATGAGGGCATCCCCCCCCCCCCACCATCCCTTGTACAAAAAACATACAAAACACATTCTGCCACCAAGTTCGGAGCATGCGCAGCCAATCCGATGCGGCCTCCCCCCACCATCCCTGTCAAAAACAATACAGAGTACACTTGGCGGCGGCGGCGGCGGCTGCGGCGGCTGCGACGGCGGCGGCGGCTGCGGCGGCGGCGGCGGGGGCGGGGAGGGGGTTTTGACCCCTCCCCCTACCTCCCCTGGACCTGGGCGGAGGGGCCTGCGAGGGGTTGGAGCGTCCAAAATGGCCCAAGATGGTTCCAAGAGCGCCTCGGACAGCCCAAGATGAGCTCCAAGATGGCTCAAGATATCCCAAGGCGCCTCAAGATGGCCCGCAAGATGCTCCAAGAGGCCCCAAAACCACCCCTAGACGGCTCCGAGTGGCCACGGAGCCCCCCCAGGAGGCCGTCAAGAGGCCAACACCCTCAAAAAAACCTGATGTCACCCTTTTTCGTTTTCGATGGCATTCCGAGGCCTCAAAATGGCTCCACAAAGGCCCAAGAGGGCCCCAAGAGGGGCTCAAGAGGGGCCCAAGACGGCCATAATGCGCGCCAACAACGCACCAAGAGGGGCCCAACAGGCGACTGTTGGCGACTGTTGGGGCTCCCGAAAGGGGGGGGGCTAATTGGAACACCCCTTCTGTTTTGACCGATGTCCTCCAAGATGGCCCCAAGAGTGCCCCTGAAGCTCCCTCGAGCTCCCAAGAGCGCCCCAAGAGGACCCCAAGAGGCGCCCAGGCAGCCCCAAGAGGCGCCCAAGAGGCCTCCAAGAGGTTCCCAAAAGGCCACCAACTCAAAGAAGCCCCCGGGCTCGCCAAGATGTCCATCCTCCTCCTCCTCCTCTTCCTCCTCCTCCTCCTCCTCCTCCTCCTCCTCCTCCTCCTTTTCCTCCTCGTCCTCCTCGTCCTCCTCCTCCTCCTCGTCCTCATCCTCCTCCTCCTCTCCTCCTCCTCTCCTCCTCCTCCTCCTCCTCCTCGTCCTCGTCCTCCTCCTCATCCTCCGCCTCTTCCTCCTTTTCCGCCTCCTCCCTCCTCCTCCTCCTCCTCCTCCTCCTCCTCCTCCTCCTCCTCCTCCTCCTCCTCCTCCTCCTCCTCCTACTCTTCCTCCTCAACCTCCTTGTCCACTGCCTCGTCCTCCTTCCTCCTCATCGCCCTCCTCCTCCATATCCTCCTCCTTCTCCTCCACTTTCCTCCCCCTCTTGGGGTGTCGGACAGCTTTCCCCGCTGTTTGTTCTTCTGCATGCTCCCCCATTTCCCTGATCATCTCAACTCCCCTGGGCATATTTTCTGGATCGGCTAATGGGGATATTTGTTGGCACGCGGGCGCGCGAAGACGAGTCAAACGCCGTGCAAGCTAGGGCGGGCCACGCCGAAGCAAAGGAACAAACAGCGAAGCGAGCGGCGCCCGGCTCAGAGCGGAACTGGGCTCAGCGCAGCCACAATGGCACGGGAGGCATGGCGGGTGGGATATTTGTTTTGGTCGCGGCCGCGAGACAAGGGTCAGGCGGCGAAAGCAAAGTCCGGGGCACGA